AGCCCCAGCCAGCACAGTTGGTGGTGAAGGCTTCTGGGAGTTGCAGTCCAAAACTCCTGAGTAACCCAAGGTTAAGAAACCAGTGCTCTAAACCATCTTTTTCCAGAAACCTAATTTCTTTACAGGAAGGACCAAGGAACTACTATTGCATTCAGCTGATATATATTAGTGCCATAAAATTTAGAGAAAGTGCCTTTAACTTTGGCAGAGCACAAGGCAGGCTTTGTACCTCTCTACACCACAGCAGTTGCTATCATTTTATAGCTGCTGTCAAAATGCTCTTCTGTTACAGAGCCTAGTGCAGTCATACAGAACAGTGTAACATAAAGTAACTTTCTCAATGTTTTGTCAGCAGTACTAGGATAGTAACAGCAACTAACCTTAGAGAGCTGTTGTGAGTATTGTCAATGGCCTACCTGAAGCACTCTGAACATTACAACATGTAACTTTAAAAGCTAGCAATAGTGTTAGGCCTTCAGTGCTAGTCAGACTCTGAAACTTTCCATCAGAAATTTTCTAGTTAAAAAGACAAGCCTTACCATGCAAGAGAACAACTCTGTTCCATGATATCAAGTTGCTGTCCACATTTCTGTCAGAGAAGAGTAATGCTGTAGTCACGTAATCTAACAGCTAATTGGATAGAGGGTAAAGAGATAAACAATTATAATTTCATATCTATAATAGTTTATAAAAACGAAACAAATGTGAACAGTTTAAAAATTGTAAGTTTTAACAAAATCATCTTACTTCCTTTATGATGGCAAAATGAGAAGTGAAAACAATGACTATATAAAAATGCAACAGAAGCAATCAATGGAAATCCTATGAAATGGATACGTCTGTTCTAACTGGACAATCAACGGGATTTAGCCAAATTTAGAGCCCTCTGTTGTTGGGGCTCATTCTCTCTAAGATCAATTGCATTTCACTGTGCCATGGACACAGAAAGTGTTTTTTGTTTGTTTTCAAAAGAGATAAAATGCAAATGAGATTGATTTTAATGCATCTTAAACTGGGGAATAAAGTCACCTTGCCTTGCCATGCTTAAGACTTGTTAGCAAAACTTTCCTGTACTGCTGCTGTAGACAGGTTGCTACAATGCTTGGATAACCACAATCTGGGGTTACAGGTAACTTTCCTTAAGATATTGTAAACAGCAAGGTTTATAATGGTGAAAGTTTTACAGACTCATACACATTTCACCATAAGTATAACTGTTTTGTAAGTCTAGGTAGCCATTTTTGTCTCCCAAACATTATAAGAGTTAGTCTAGACTGCCCTCTCAGACTGCCAAAATATGGAAGGAAAGAAGGAAAAGGAAGAAAAGGAGAGAGAGAGAGAGAGAGGAAAAGGGCGAGTATAGAAGTGGCTAGAAGTCCATTTTCAGTTTCGGAAAAATTGGCATCTTGGGTGTTAAACAGAACACAGAAGGGCTTATAGCCTATTTAAAAGACAAATCTCCACTCTTGGAAGCTTCCATGAGATGAAATTCACCTCTTTTCTTCTTCTTTTTAAGGGTGATGGGGAACAAGTTTTTATGTGCCTCAATTAAGCAGAATGACGGTTCACAACAGCAGTAATAATAACAAAGTAAGTCTACCCTGTCTCTTGTAATTGACACGTGATACCAAAGCAAACTGTTGTTCTTCAAATAAAAAAAGGATAAAGGAAGGAGCGCCTCTCCTTGCTAATTCACATCCATTCCCACCCACTCATCCAAGCCATTAACTACATTATTTCTCCTTCCCTCGAATTCTTGTAAAGGGACATGCCGTTGACTACCAGATGATGGAACAACCAATCAAAGCCAAGCAATGTTCATCAATACTTTGAGCTGCATCTAACTGATCACTCCTGGATATCTCAGTGGTTTAGGTATCAGAGGTTGGGAGTTCAATTCCCCCTGTAGCTCCTTGATAGGGGCTGGACTCAAAGATCCATAGGGTCACTTCCAGCCTTCCAGCTCTACAGTTCTATGACTATTACAGTGGTGTCTCGCTTAACGATTACCTTGTTAAACGACAAATCCGCTTGATTAGGTTTTTGCGATCGCTTTTGCGATTGGAAAATGATGTCCTAATGGGAAAAAAACGCTTTATGATGATTGATTCCCTGCTTCGGGAACGGATTTTCCGCTTTACGACGATCAAAACAGCTGATCGTCGGGTTTCCAAAATGGCTGCCCACTGCGCAAAATGGCTCCCCGCTGTTTTTAGGGCGGATTTTTCACTATACAGGGAGCAGAAAATGGCTGCCCTATGGAGGATCTTCGCTGGACGAGCAGGTATTTTGCCCATTGGAACGCATTGAATGGTTTTCAATGCATTTCAATGGGTTTTTTTATTTCGCTTGATGACGATTTCGCTCTACAGCAATTTCGCTGGAACGGATTAACGTCATCAAGCGAGGCACCACTGTATATTATTATTAGAATTCTGAAGCAGATGACACTCTGGTCTGACCTCAGAACATAGTTCTTATACTGTCCTTGAAGAAAAGACTTCTTAAAATATCCTGCTGGCTCAGAAGCAGCCAATACTGTTAGCTAGACCTAGAGTTGCTCATTTAAAATAGCTTTTTAGTATCTACTGCTGATAAATAGAAGAATGAGTGAGGATTTAAGTATGGTAAATTGTATGGCCTTATTGTTTGCAATGGAAAACTGTTTAATAATTAACAATACTTTCTACTTACATCTGCCTTAATTTGAGCATCATAAACAAGGCTATCCCACAAACCATGGAATTCAACTGGAAAACAAAAATATATTTCAAATAGATAAGCATATAAACTGAAATATCATTTTGTATCCAACTATTCATTATGAATTAATTAGACAAATTTTGCTTTTAATTTAATAAACAAGTGGTGTAATGTTTTACATATCTCTTTGGCATTACATACTACCAAATATAATGAAACATAATTTTGAATGATTAGGCTGTAAATTATTTTTACCCTGATTAAAAAGGGAAGCACCTAAAGATCTTTGTGTAAAAGAAACTTTCATATAAGAGAAAGGATTAAAAAAAATCACTCAGTACTCCTACAAATGCAAAGGAAAGCAAAATATTTATTTGTTTGGACCAGGATGCTGTTTTTCAGCCAAATTGCCTTCTCAGTGGCTGATTCTTTTAAAAAACCAACAAAAACTGTTATTACAGAACAGACCAGTGAAGTCCAAAGCAGAGATATAAAACTTGTAAGTTCTAAGGCAAGAATAAATGACAACAGTGCAGCATTCTTCCTTATCAAGTAAAATCTTATTTATGTGGTCCCCTTTTTCCATTGAGTTCACAGGGTAGGATACATCACAAAAAACTTAAGCACTTTAAAGTTCTCTGTGTTTCAGTGTAAAATATTTAAAAGTGTGCTCAACTTTTCCACTTGGCCTTGAAAACATTCAAGTTCTATTAAAAGCACAAATCGACAAAGCTACATGTTTTAGGGCAGGGGTCCCCAACGCCTGGTCCGTAGCCCAGTGCCAGTCCGTGGCCTTGACCGGACTTGGCTGCAGAGACAGATCACCTGCCCCCTGCATGCTTTCCCCCCGAATGTCCACCCATACAAGTCCTTTGTGCATGCACGCACGTGCCAGCACTGCACAAGCACCTCCACCCCTTTCTCACATGCGCGGAAGTATGTGCGTGTGCTGCACGAGTGCCCCTGCCCTTCGTGCATGTGTGTGTTGCGCACTACCCCTTCACACATGCGCACGAGAGCGGGGGGGTGCCCCACCTGCTGCCCGCACATGAACCCCACCCCCCCACTGGTCCGTGATGTTAAAAAGGTTGGGTACCACCATTGTAGGGCACAGTTCCTTGTATTTGGAAGGATATTGTATATTTTAAAACCCAACATAGTTTATTTCAGGCACAGGTTCATCTTTCCATTTATTCCTTGCTTCCATCACATTTCTCAGCTATACCTGTCACCACAAATAACAAAATCATGTTTCCAGTGCTTTCCAAAGAATGCATTCTACATGCATGAACTCTTCTTTCAAACTCTCCAGGAATCTTTTTTAAAATAATTAACTAAAAATACCTGCAGGCAACACCCAGTGATTAGCTGCAACAATAGCTTCATCCTCTTCATCTAGATTTTCAGCCCTGGGTCCTTCTTCATTGAGATGAAAAATATGAATTGAAAGGCTACATCTGCTCAGACTAATAGGCTGTAATTCAGAGGAAAATACATCTTAGCAGCAGTCCTATATACAGTTTCTTGGGAGTACATCCTTTTGAGCTGAGTGCAGTTTGAATTATCAATAGGTATGTACAGGAGTTCAGTTCCGATCATTCAATTGTGAGGGGGCTTCAAGTGGCAGAATGATTTTAGAATTTTAGACATATTAAACTAGATGTGAGTTATAACAATTTAGGTTTGATCTTTCCAAGCTACACATGTGGAGGGAAATTGTCTCCAAGTCAAAAACTAACATGGGCAGAAGAAAATTCTAGTCAGCTCATTTTCTGCTGTGCTGCCTTTCTACTTGCTGGCTGTTAGGAGCATTTAAAAAAGTTATCCCTTAGTTAACTTTAGTGGCCAGTCTGTTCTATCACTTCAGTACTTCATCACCTCATTTTGCTGCATGTGTAGGTTTTGCCTGAGTTGCCATGCACCTTCCACCATTAGCATCTCCATGATTTCCCAGCTATGGATCTGTGAGTACTAGACATTTGTGCATCATATCCATCCTAGCATCTCCAGCACTGGGAGGACACACAATTTGCAAAAAAATTGTGTATTATAAACATCATTCTCAATAAAAAAAGGGGGGGAATGAACTTGGTATCAGCCTGACTGATCTTGTACAAAGGAAGCAAACTCATTACAGCATTTTTCTTAGAAGAGAGTTTTGAATAATGTAAGAAATATTTAATACCTGTCTTTCTTTTAGTTTTAGCTCTGTATCCACAATTGCAACGGACTGTACATTATTTGTTAGGAAACAGTCATCAAACTCAGTCCACTTGTAATCACCAAAGACAACATTATGTCTATTAAGTAGTTTTAGGACACTCAACTTGATATCTTCTTTCATTGCAATACTGTTTAAAAGAGAAGAAAACATAAAGTGGTCAAACCTATATACTTCAGCTATATACCTCAGTACATCAATTTTTACCATCTGTGATGAGCGATCCCATCTTACCACCACAAGAAGTGGCATGGATAGAGACGGTACACCTGTGCAATCCACATTACAGCATCCTTCAAGGGACAGAATAAACTACTCACACCTAAAAAGCCTGCAGAGGAAGCAACATCGACCAGGAAGGACATAATCAGTTAAACCTGAGGTACTAAACTTCGTTACACTAGGAAAACAAAGAGTCTTTGTCAACAGCCAAACAGAGGAGGATGCAGGAGAAAAAAACAGTACAGATAAAAGATGATTCATTATTCCCTTTATATCACATCAAAGCTCATATATCAACTCTCCTCCCCAAAAGATAATTCCCTTAAAAATTTGAATAGGGGAGGAGGGTGAAACATATGTCATGCATACAAACTGTAAGTTGAATTACCATAAATTCCAACAAACATAGATCCCAACAAGGTTGAGAAGTTGACAAAGATAGTCTCGGACCTGGTGCTGAGAACTCCCAGGCTGTTGGTGCTGGAGGACCTCAACATCCATGCTGAGGTTGCCTTGACTGGGGTGCCTCAGGACTTCATGGCTGCCATGAAAACCATGGAGCTGTCTCAATGTGTCATCGGGCCAAGACATGAGAAGGGCCATACCTTGGACCTGGTTGTCTCAACGGGACTGGAAGATGGTGGTTTGGATGTGGAGGGGCTGGTTGTGGCCCCATTGTCATGTTTCGGGTGGTCCGGGATCTTCTTCAACTGGGAAATCCAGTGGAGGTCCCGGACTGCTCATCAGCTTGCTGTGATGAGTTTGCCATTCATTTTGAGGTGAAAATCGCACAGATTCACAGTGGGGTGGACTCCACCATTACTGCAGAATCAGAGGATGCGCCCAGTGTGCCGTGCTTAGGTCAATTATTAATGGATGAGTTTCAATTGTTGAGACCTGAGGATGTGGATCCTGCTTGGATTTGTCCATTCTACCACCACTTTGCTCGACCCTTGCCCATCTTGGTTAATTGGAAGATCTGCCAGGGGGGTTCGCACCTGGGTCCAGGAGGCCGTGAACACCTTTGAGAGAGGCAGTGGTCCCTACCACCTTGACAGAGGCGGTAACTCGGCCACTCCTAAATCAATTGTTGAGACCTGAGGATGTGGATCCTGCTTGGATTTGTCCATTCTACCACCACTTTGCTCGACCCTTGCCCATCTTGGTTAATTGGAAGATCTGCCAGGGGGGTTCGCACCTGGGTCCAGGAGGCCGTGAACACCTTTGAGAGAGGCAGTGGTCCCTACCACCTTGACAGAGGCGGTAACTCGGCCACTCCTAAAAAAAAGCCTAAACTGGACCCAAGGCTGGTGGTTAACTACTGACCAGTGGCAAACCTCCCTTATTTGGGCAAAGTGTTGGAGTGGGTTGTGGCCGTGCAACTCCAGGCACCGCTGGATGAAATGGATTTTCTGGATCCATTTCAATTGGGATTCAGGCCAGGTTTTGGTACGGAGACTGCCTTGGTC